CGTGGTGGGGGGAAGGTTTTTTTTTTTCATTCCACACCCCCCCTCCCCCCCCCAAAAAAAAAAAAAACCTACACTATAAATTAATCCCAAACCTCCATTTTTTTTCACCAACTCTCAATCTCTCTTGTTTGTACACCAATTCTCATTCATATTCATATTCTCTTCAATTCGATTCAATTTATATTTATATTATTCAATTTCATCTCTTATTCATATTGTTATTCAATTTTTTTTCATTTTAATTATTTATTATTTTATCATGAATTCATAATGGATTCCCAAAATTATGCATTCGGAGGATCATCCTCAAATGAGTTTTATGTTCCATCCACCAAAGATATGGAAGAGTTCGATCCATTTTCACTATTTCTAGAGGCAGCAACTACAATTCAACAACCACAATCGATTGGGATTGGGTGCAACCAAACACAAGCAAGCTGTGACTCCACGGCTCGACCATGACCGTCAAAGAGGGTCGTGTTCGGGGTATGACAATACTTCACCAAATCAAAACGGGCAAAGCCAAATGGGGAGGGGGAAGAAACATGTGGGGTATGTAATTTCTGTACAACCATTATTGGCATTGAGAACGAGACTTCGACGATGTGGCAAAACTTGGAGAAGAAGCACCCCAAATTAATGCAGTTGTTCGGTTCATCTTTAACCGGACTCGATAAGCAAATTCAAACTCAAATTAATTTTAATCCACAATCCTCAACTCTGTCAACATGGCAATGCAATGCACTCCAAGCACGAGAGGAAATAGCAAGATACATAGTTGCTACGAACTCTCCCATTTCTTTATCTAAAAATCCTTATTTTATTCACATGATTAAAAATATATTTTGTCCAGCATATACCCCTGTTAGTAGAGGTACAAGTAGAAGGGACATACTAAAACTTTATAACAAAATAAATGTTAAACTTAAAAACAAATTTCAAAATTTTAGGAATATATCTGTTGCACTTACTTCAGACATATGAGATTGTGGATCAAAAACAAATTTTTTAATTGTCACAATACATTACTTAGATCATAGTTGGGGTTTACAATAAAAATTGATAGGTTTTAAACCATTATATACTGCACATAATGCTGACACTATTTATTTTACAATTATTGAAGTTTTGCAAGATTATGTATTAACTGATAGAGTTGTAGCACTAACGCTAGATAATGCAGCTGCTAACACCGCGACTATCTCTTTATTTGAAAAGAGATTAGATCCGTGTGGTGAAGACAAATTTTTTCACTAGAGATGTGCTTGCCACATCATCAATTTGATTATTAAAGCAGGTCTAGAAGCTATAATTTCAAAGGTTGAGAGGGTGCGCGTGGCTATCAGATTCATTGTCGGTGGTAGCAACAAAAGATGGCAGGAATACATTAAATATTGTAAGCAAGAGGACCTACTGGTTCGACCTTTGAAGTTATGTATGGACATGCCTATCCTTTGGAACTCCACCTACTTGATATTGGAAAAAACTTTGCCAACCGCAAGATAAATTACAAATTTCGTCAATCGGAGAATTATTCGGAGGAAGTTGTTAGCTATGATGATTGGACGGTTTGCAAACTTTTTGTTCATTTATTAAAGTTTTTTATGATTCCACTAATACATTAAGTGGTATTTATTATCCTACTACTAATTTAGTGTTAGATATTTTACTTCAAATTTCTAAAACTTTTGCTAAATATAGATATAATGATGTCTTAATGGAAATTGTTTCAAACATGGAAAAAATTACTAGAAATATTGGTTAGACATTCCATTCTTATATGGATTAGGCCTTGTTGTAGATCCTAGGTTTAAATTACACGTAGTTAATTGTATAATTACTGAGATAGGCCAGCATTTAGGACATGATTATACGTCTTATTTGATTAACTTTAGGCAAAAATTGGGAATCCTTTTTCCTTTATATCAGAGCAGGTACAATGGAAGTGGAATGTCGAGTAGAGACGACCAGTAGGACCCTGATAAAGACATCTATCAAGGATCAAGCATGTGGACCAAATGAGTTGAATCGCTATTTACAAATGGACATGTCCTACATGACAAAGAAGGAGAAACGTGAGATGAATGTGCTTCAATGGTGGAACCAACATCAAAGTCAATTCCCAATTGTAGCCCAAATGACACGTGACATTTTATTTGTGCTGGTTTCGACAATTGCATCCGAGTTAGCATTCTCAAGAGTGACCGGATTGTTGAAGACAGAAGATGCTCTTTAACCAATGAGATGATTGAAGTGATAACGTGTTTATGGGATTGGACTTATGTAGAGAAAAGACTACAGCAACACCCTGAAGATCTCGAACTGCTCGAACTCTTCAGGAACACAGATTTGAACGATGTAAATATTGTTGACGATGTAAATGAATCATTTAATAAAAATAAATTTATTTAATTGTTTATTATTGAAGTGTGATTGTGTGAATATTATATATATGTTAAAATTAATTAATATTATCTCTTTAAAGTTTAAATTTAAAATACCATATATTTATAAATAATTATTAATTATAATTAACCATTAATTAATTAATTAATTTTTAAAATTAATTAAAAATTTACTAATCTCCTCCTAAAAATTACATAAACCCCCTACATAATTTTATTTGGCCCCTTAAATATAAAAAACGTTTGGGGGGGGGGGGGGGGGGTTGTTGGGGGATTTTCTAGGCCCATACGACTGGTCCTATGGGCCTAGGACCAATCATAGGGACCGATCCGGGCTTGAAAAATGCCTGGGACCGATCCCAAGACCATATATGATTGGTCCCAATCGGGCCTATACTCAGGTCCGGTTGGGACCGGTCCCTGCCCAGGTCCCTAGTTAGTAAATACGGGTACGGCAAAAAAACGGTACGGGAATTTTACGGGTATGATACGGCAAATGGTGAAAAATACGTTTGTAAAAATTCGGTCATAAAATTCGGATATGGAAAAAATACGATTCGGATATATACGGGTTTAATACGACACATTGTCAATAATACGTTTTGAAAAATACGGCAATAGCAATCTTGGTTTTAGCACTTTTCAAAACATCCCCATTTAAATAATCCATTGTGGTCGACCCTACAATTTATTTTCCTTTTAATTTAAAGTATATTTGAACAATAACTAAGACTAGTATTTTTATCCTTAATTTTATAGCTACGCATACAAAGTTTGGATTCCAATTAGTATAGTTGTTTTATTTTCTGAATTTAATTGGACAGTACATTCAAAGGTCAAATAATAATAGTGTTATGAAATCTAAAAACATGACAAAGTGCACATGGGTTTACAATTTGCAGTTGGCGTTGGTTGTAAACTGATGGTTTGTTGCTTTTTTCTTCTTCTTTAAGTATCTGCCAATTCCAAATCCAAGCCCGACAATATTATTTTTATGAATTCATGCTTTTCTTTTGCAGTTTTGCCTTTACCTTTTGCTTTCATAGATGATCTTTAGTCTTTTCATTTTGACCCATACAACACAAAACAACAGAACTAAATGAAATATTATGTTAAAACAGATACCAAATATAACTCTCACAAGCATTTCATCAAACATGTTTCAAACAAATCTATCAATCCACCAACATAACAAATCCATCAATCCACCAGCCCCTATTACTACTACTCACACACCAACACAAACACAAACAAATCACCAACATACAAGATTCAAAGAGAGTTAAAAAGAGAAGAGAAGAAGTGTGTAGCTTGAGGCTTGAAGAGTTGAAGTCTTGGACTTAAAGCTTGGAGAAGAGAGTTAAAATTTAAAAAGAGAAGAGAAGAAGAGATCAAGACTCAGAGTCAAGAGATGAAGAAAAAAGAGTTGAATTGTTGAAGATTTGAAGAAGAGATGAAGACTGTGGAAGAGAGAACCGAGAAAGAGGAGAAGGAGATTTTTTTTAATTTTAGTCAAACCCCACCAAAACGACGTCGTTTTGCCTTATCATATAATTATTTTTTTGTCTGCAAAAATTCGGCAAAAATTCGGCAATAATTCGGGTATAATTCGCGAATTATACGGATATGGTATATAATTCGCGAATTATACGGCAGTCCTAATAAAATACGTGAATTCGTATTTTATACGGGAATTATACGGCTAGCCGTATAATTCGCGTATAAAACGCGAATTTACTAACTAGGCCCAGGTCTATTCTATCCTAATCTTTATGATAAAACTATCAAATTATGTTCCTTCTCCTAATTCCTATGGGTAAATTAAGAAATATAATTTGATATTCTACCCTAATTAATTATATAAATATAACAAAAAATCCCGCGGGATAAAATTTATTATATTAGGTATAATTAATTGCAATTAATATCTATAATTCTTTAGGTGATCCTAAATAATCATAATATATAATTTTATTTAACTAAAGATGTTGTGGCTAATCACTAATTAATTAAAATTATATGGATCACAAGACATTATAAATTTATATTTATCACAGCTAAAGCAATAACTAGACATTATAATCACTAGAAGATAACTTAAGTTATAGTTATCACAGCTAAAGCAATAACAACTCATGAAAGAACCATAGGGAACAAGAGGAATAAAAATAGTGAGTTAAGGGTTAGTAAGTATCAGAAAACTTGGGTATCTTCTATCGGGGTGATAGACTTACATTTTGACAATGGCACAAGCTGAAGCGCCTTTCTGGGTGAACCCTTTGCCCTTTCCCTGGCTGTTGCCTCTGTCACTCAAGATAAGGTCAGGTGATCCCTTTCTGTCTCCTTCTCAATTAAGTCAATAAGCCCCTTCTTTTTGGTTCACACACACACACACACACACACACACACATAATATGTATGGGTATGTATAAGTATACCTATGTGTGCTCGTGTGTGTTAGAGGAGGAGAAAGAAAGGTCTTGAATGTTTTTCTAGTGTAGGAGATGCAATAATTATCGTTGTTTGGTTCCTGGGAAAACTATGAGAAATTTTCTAATGAAGGAAAAAAGGTGGTGCGACCGTTGGTTGGAAGGCATGGCTGGTGGTGGTCATCTGTTGGAAGGCACGGTTGCTGGTGGTCATTGTTTGGAAGGCACATCTAGTGGTGGTTGTTGTTTGGAAGGTGCGGTTTTTGGTGGTCGTCTGTTGGCCAAAATTGGAAATTTTGGTTTTGAAATTTTTATTTTTATTTTTAGTGTATTATTTAAGTAATTTGGCTCACATGCCACATGGCAGTTATGTGGTATGCCACATGTTGTGCCACGTCAATGTGTACATGTACTTGGCTGAAATGGGATAGTGCTACCACTATATATATATTGTGTGTGTGATTTTTCCTTCAAGCTCAGGGAATTGCGAGGTTATAGCTCAATCCAGAACTAGCTTGACTCAACCGATTGTTCGACCCACTATAAGCTCATCGAGTTGTAGCTTGACCTAGCACAAGCTAGTCACGATCAATCCTTACACTTGTTCAGCCAATTCATAGATAACTTTAGATCTTGGGTATCTCGGAAAGGATCAAATCGACAACAATCTTTGTGCAATCACAATGCTCAATTGCAAGAATATCGGAGTTGCATTTCAAACTTAATTGTAATCCCTTTATTTTTCCTCTTTCCTTTGTATAAAATCTGTATATAAACCCCCTCCAACGATGGGAAAGGGGTTAGAAAATTATTCTAGGATTGTTATTGTAACCTCTCATAGCAAATACAAAAACAGTGGACATAGGCTCAAGAGTATAACTCGCCAAACCACTTTAAAAACTTTCTTGTCATTCTCTTTACTGCATTTTTTGTTTATTCATTGTTGGTTACCTGTAATCATACACACATCAGTTTTGATCCTATCAAGGTCGATCAGATCGCTCTAATTGGTGTAATTTTGCATCAACACACACACACACACACACACACACACACACACATGTAGTTATAGTTATGTTTTCAATCTCTGTATTTTGGATTGGTTGGGTTAAAGGTTTAGGAATTCTCATTTTTAAAGGTATGATTGCATTAGCTAATCCCCAATCCTCCGGTAAACTTATTTGGTCCTAATTTATTGTTTAGGAACTGTTATGTTTGATCTTATTAAATTAGTTTGAAATAACACTGTGTGGCCTTTTTGGTCATGATTAATGGCTCTAGTTTCAAAGGTAGATTGCATTACTTTGTATTGGATCCTATAAACGGCTGCTATAGGGATGGTTCCTGGTTTTAAGTCATAATTAAACGTTTTAATATTTAAAGTTAAAACATCTGGTATATTTTGGTAATCTAAGCAGACTGTGAAATCAAGATAACAATTGAAATAAATTGGTCCATTGGATAGGTTGGATTCTATTGTTCCTAATAGAGAATCTCTATATCTTAGCCATCTACAATCTCTTAAACAGGCAAAGATGGCAGTGTACATGCCTTCAATGCTTAGAGTTTTGATTCCTATTTGGACTAATCCTATATGAAGATAGTTATAACTCTTTTTGTATTTTTCAACCATTTCCTTAGATAATAATTGAGTTATTTGAGTTGAATTGTTTACCTTAAGAGTCTTTTCTTCTGTTTTAATTATGTATTTTGATTTGTTTAAAAGGTTTACTCTATTGAGACTTGATAGTTTTCCTTCTTTGTAAACATCTGTTACAGAAATTTTGGGAATGTTCCAGTTATCAAAATGTTTTTTTAAATTTTAAGGTCTTATGACCTATTTTTCATTTTGTGTACAAGCGTGACTTGTTTCAATTATCTTGTCATTTTGATTTATACAAATCTCTTCTTGATGAACAATCTGTTCATCTCTAGTATTTGAACTGGAAGTAGACATTGATCTAGAAAAGTTTTCCATTTTGTTTATCACCTATTTCTTTCCATACAGTGGTTGATCTAAGGGACTTACAACGGTTACATCCTATAGCCCTACACAACCCAAAAAGACTCGGTACTCAAAATAATTAATAAACAAAATTTTAACAATCCTAAATCCCTGTCTCCTCCCTGGCTTTGATACCAAGAGGGATCATAGGATCGTTGCACACAAAGAGGAGATATGCAAAGATTAAACAAAAACTTAAATAAACATTAACTTATATAATCTTACAACTTAATAAGATAACGGCGGCAGAGCTGCATTGAAATCGTATTAAGTGAGATTAATTCTTAACTAGGTAACAGTGATAGTGCCACACTGGAACCAGATTAAGTGATGAACAAAAATTTAAAGAAACAAAGAACACAAATAAAAACTTGAATAAACATTAAAATCAAACATGATGAATGATAAATGATTGTAGAGAATAATTAAAGAACGGAAAGATTAAACATTAAAAGATTATTGAAAGATTTAAGGAATTTGAACTTACAATAAAAGCTTTCTTTTTGGAGAGCTTTGAGAGGTTACATGAAAAGAGAGTGAGGGAGGAGAAAGTTTGAGAATTGGCTTTCTAAAAGCTTGATTTACAATGAACGAGTCCTCCAATTTATAGAAATCTTATCTTACTATAGCATCACATGAATACTATTAAGAGAATATTTTTTAATACTTTTTTTAGAGCATCAAATGTCTCTTTCTGTAGGGAATCTCTGACTCTTCATTTTTATGCCAAATATTCTCTAATTTGGATGTCGGTTCTTTGGCCATTCTTCTTTTTTGAGAGAAGAGGTAATTTTGAACAGTTTGGAATAACTTAGATGATCCCATAACAGTCATCTTCATTGCTTTGGGCGAGATTCACTGAGGCATTGGAGCTTCGGTTAGATTCTTCTTCTTCTTCTTCATCTTCATCTTCATCTTCATCTTCATCTTGGAGCTGTGAAAGAATAGTCTTGAGGTGGTCTTTAAGTTCTTGTTTTATTTTGGCTCCTGCTAAGGATACTGATGCCACAATCCTTTTCTGTAAAAAAATTGGTGATTTCAAGGGTAATTGCCTGAGTTGGATGAGGTAAATTTGAGAGACAAAGTTGAATTTTTTCTTTGGACACATGGGATGCATCATATTTATTCCACAACTTGACTTTAAATTTCCGGATCAAAGTAGGGAGATTGCTAATATTTTGGACAATTTCATATTCCCATTGTAAAATCCACGAGAGGTGGAATTTTGCTGAGAAATGAAGTGATGGAGGGAAATTTGAATCTGCTTTGGAAACTTTGAATTTGAGCTTGGACTCATTGAATCCTTCATGGACAGTTGCGGGTAGGATTTCAGGAATTAATCCAAAATGATCCCACCGTTGGGAAAACCAATTGGGAAATTTGAATAAAATGTTTCTTTTGAAATAAATCATCCACGAGTGCCTGTGATGACTATTTTGGAGAAAGAGTGATTTGTTCCAGGCCCTTTGATAGTCCCAGTAATTATATCCAGGCGGGTCAAAATTTTAGGAAATTTTTTTGAATTGGTTTGGGTTGGATCCCCAATCAGAAGGACTAAGGATTCTCATGATATGAAGGGTTGAATGAGTGATAAATCCTGGTTGGTTTTTGTCTTCATAGTGTTTAAACTCACAGGAGTCAGAATCAACAAGAATAAATTCATAAAATTTTTGAGTTTTCCTTAAATCTTCAGGAAAAAAATGAAAACCTTTTGGAAAAATTTGTTGAACTAATTGTTTAGGGTTTTCAAAATCATATCCTTATTCAAAAACCAAATGATTTGAAGAAATTCCTTTTTGAATATATTTTTGTCCTAGTTTAAGCTAGGGCTTTTAATTAGAGATGGCAATGGGCCCGAGATTTTTGGGTACCCGGCCCGAAAAGGGTGGGCTTTACCCGTGGGCTTGGGCCTGGGCTAGGGCCTGGGCTTGATTTTAAGGCCCGACCACAGGTACGGGCCGGGCATGGGTATATCTTCAGTCCCGGCCCAGCCCGGCCCGCAAGTTTTAGTATTAATTTTACTAATATACCCTTATACTATATATTTAATTATAGTATTATCCTAAGTATATATAACTATTTTTCCCAAACCCTAACCTCAATTCTCAATTTTCTCATCCCATTCCCTAAACTCTCTCCACCTGCTGCCCTTCCTAACAGCTAACATATCTCTCTCTCCGTTTGCTGTTCTGCAACTGCATCTCTGTCGCTGTCGCCGCCACCTGCTTAGATAGGTAAGACTCTTGACTCTTTCTTTTTTTTTTTTAATCATTGTTCCTCTAAACTTTTGGATGAGCATTAAAATAAAAAATAATATATTAATTTGGGACCCAGGAGCCATCAGATGTGGCTTCTGTAGAGTTTGACTGCTTTTATTTATATATAAATTGGTGGAAGAGAAAGTACTTTTTTCAAGGTAGTATCCCAGTGTGGCTGCATTTTGTAATGAATCTGTTGTGTATTTTGCTATTTTAAGCTCAAAGAATGGACGGTTTTGATTACATTATGTTTACTATTGTGTGCATCTGATGTGAATAATAAAGAAGAAGCAAATTCTGTGTAACTCTGAGTAACTAAGAAGTCGTTCCATTTTGCTCTTCTGAGGTTTACAAGGAATTAAAATACGCTTCAAATATTTATCATTGCTGATATTTTGTTTGATATCTTGTACACTTTGTACTTTGCATTAAATGAGCTTAAAGTTACTCAATTTCTTTATATTTCTCAAGTTTTAGCTCTTTTGTTAACTTGAAGTTATATTTCCCCAAATTTTCACTTGAATTTCTTGTTGAATGTTAGACTCTTTAGTTGGTGGTCAATAATATGAACAAACATCTAATTAACAGACTCGCCAATTTCATCTTTGATTGATGTTTTTCACAAATCATCCTTTCTTTCTTCAGTTTCTCCCATGGTTTCAGCGTGTAAGACCTCCTTTAACTTTTGTTGATTCTTTTGCTGAATTACTTTGATTCTCAGATTAATAATTTCAGTCTTTAATTTTATCTTGTCGTGAATTTCGTCGCTTACAATTATTAACGAAATAAATCGGATTCTGTTTTGTGTTTGAATTTGAATTCCTTGGTTTTCTTTTTATTCTTTTCAGCAGTTCAATCTTAGATGAAGAATTTGTTGCTTCTTGGTGCAATTTCATATGTGCTGTTGGCTAAACATATTATTTGACTTTATAAATTCCATGTTATTGATTATTAAAATTGTCCATACTTTAAATATTGCAATTGGGACATTGTAGGCCATGCAATTCATAAAGTCTAAAGCTAACCACCTTACTGATAAATTTATTTTTTAACAAATTAATATGACATATCATCTCTTTAATTTTATTTTGTAATGTTATTGATATTCATACTTTTTGTTCATTTTTTTTAGGTTTCAACATGTCAATTCAAGCTTCTTTACTTGGTAAACGAAAAGCTTAGAGGAGGAATGAATCTACCTTCTGACTCATCGAAAAAATTGTCAACTCCAGATCTGATTGGAAGTAATCAAGTCAATCCCCAATTGCTATACGGAGGAAGAAACACATAGAAAATGCCCCCCTTAATGATGTTGACAGTTGCAGCAATACTGTAAGGACAAAATCAGTTGTATGGCATCATTTCAAGAAAGTTAAAGTTGATGGCAAGGATAAGCAGAGTGTAACCATTGTCGTAAACAACTTGCTGGTGGTTCCAAAAACGGGACAAGGCACTTGCATGCACATATTAAAATTTGTCCAAGGGCGAATGTGAGATGTATCACAGAAATTCTGTGATGACCCCGAGAGAGGATTCAGTTCAAAGTCACAAATGACCTTAACTTCTTCGCATCACTTGACCAAGAGTCGTGAGGAAGGACCTAGCAATGATGATTGTTCTACATGAATATCCTTTGAGCATGGTTGATCATTACGGGTTTAGAAATTTTGTAACAACATACAATCGTTGTTTAGTTTGTGAGTAAAACACTATTAAGAAAGACATATTCAAGATGTAGTGAGAAAAAGAGAAGACTATGAAATTGTAAACAAAAACCAGAGTAGGATTGCTATCACTTCGGATTTGTGGACTGCCAGCAATCAAAACAAATATATGACAATCACAGCGTACTTTATCGACAACAACTGGGTCTTACAAGTCGACTCATAAGTATTATCTTTTAAGGTTTTATCATTCTTATTTTTTAATACAATTTTTGTAGCTATATTAATAATATTTTTTATGTATAATTAATGTTGTAGATTTTATACGTACTGCCCACATACTAGAGATGTGCTTGCTGCGGCTTGTGGACTGCTTTTAAGTGGATATTTATAGAAAGTTGTCGACATTGACGCTGATAACTGCTCCACCAATGATGCAGTTGTTGAAGATATCTTGAACGAACTTCCAAGTGCCTCACTTATGCTATGTGGTTCATTGTTTCATATCATTGTTGTGCGCATATTCTGATCTGATTGTTCAAGATGGATTATCGGTGATTGGACAAGCAATTGCAAGAATCCGTGAGAGTGTTGCTTATTGTTCAGGCTCTCCTAAAAGAGAGCAAAAATTTGTTGAAGCAGCACGTCAAGAAGGCATTGAAAGTACAAAGAAGTTGGCTCTTGACTGTGAGACTCGCTGGAACTCAACTTATTTAATGCTTGAAACTGCTTTCATTTACAAAGATGTGTTTTTTCGTTTAAAGCTTCGTGAGCCACAATATAGATGTTTGCCAACTGAGGAGGAATGGGAGTTGGCCGAACAAGTTTGTTCAAAGTTGAAAATATTTTATGTTGCCACAAACTTGTTCTCTGGAACAAAATATCTGACATCTAATAATTATTTCCCAAAAATTTGTGAAATTAGAATTGCATTGTCTAACTGGCTTAGATGTGGGAATGATTTGATAAGGAATATGGCAACAAAAATGCTTGAAAAATTTAACAAGTATTGGGATGTGATTCACGGTATCTTGGGGGTAGCGAGTCTTTTAGATCCTAGATACAAAATGAAATCATTAGATTATTTTTTTCCTCGGATCTATGGAGTTGATGGTAAATATCATATTATGAGAATTCAAGGATTATTATCAGATTTATTTAATCAGTACCAATCTAAGCAAGGAAGTAGTCAACCTCCTCCCAATGCAACACCTTCTTTTCAGGCTAATATTCCTTGTAGTGAGGACGATGGGTCCGTTAGTGACTTTGACATGTACATTGCCCAAGAATCAAATGTTGTTGAAGGAAAGTCAGAACTGGATTTTTATTTAGAGGAGAAACTTTTGCCTGGCACTCCTAACTTTGACATATTAGTTTGGTGGAAGGCAACTGGGCCTAAATATCCAATCCTCTCTTCTATTGCTCGAGACATCCTTGCTATTCCTGTCTCCACAGTCGCTTCTGAGTCTATATTTAGCACGGGTGGGAAGGTAGTAAGCCCACATCGCAACAAACTTAATTCAGATACATTAGAAGCATTGATGTGTGCTCAAAATTGGTTATGGGCGGACATAAAATGTGATTATATCGAAATTTGATTTCTTTAACATATTTGTCTAATTGTCTTTAATATATATTTTTTATTTCTTTAACTTATTTGTCTTATTATCTTTAATGTATATTTTGCGTTCTTATTAGGTCAACAATCATGCTTGACATTTTTTGATGACACTGATGAGGAAGAACAGGAATTATGATGACAAAGAATAGGTATGGAATTGGTTAGATATTTAGTATTTCATGTGTTAATGCTTCTTATGTATTTTATAATTGCAGAAATGTGGACTTACCCGACTGGAGCTTGCAAAACTTAAGGAGACAACAACTTAGAAATTTGTGATAGAGTTTAATGTTTTGTATTTGTTCAGATTTTACTGTCTCAATTTGGTTGTTGCTCTTATGATTATGTTATACTCTAAAAATGGATGAATGCACTTTGTTGAATGTTATTTATATATTTGGTAAGTATTCAAAAATAAATTAATATTTAAAAACTATTTGTAAAATTTAAAATATAAAAATAATTTGAAATTTATTAACATTTTAAAAATTGACATTATAAAAAAAAGCGGGCTTGGGCCGGGCCTGTGGGTATAAAAAGCCCGTCAGGCCGGGCCTGGCCTTTGCCTATCATACCCGTGGTGGGCTCGGGCTAGGCTTGGGCCTGGGCTAAGGGGTACCCAGTCCCGGCCTGGCCCATTGCCATCACTACTTTTAATGGTGTAGCTGCAGGAACAAGTTCTTTGTTTTTTGAAAGAGCAATTTGAGTTGCCTTTTGTAGTTTACTTAATGAAATTTTTTCACATTGGGAAAACTCTTGGGAGCTTTTTGGAAGAGTTTGAGGATCTTGAAATTTCAAAATTTCATTTTTTGGTAAATTTGGTGTCAGCCCAATCATGGTTAAGGCTGTTTCTGGACTTTGCTGAAAAGAGTTGATCCAATTATGGATTTGCTCTGTATTTGTTGGGCTCTGAGAAGAGCTTGTTGAGGCTACGCCTTTTCCTTTTGATTGTTGGGCCTTTTCTTGGGCTTCTTCTTCACAAGCTAGTTCATACCATGATTTGGTGTTTGTGGGCTTTTGGGTATAAAAAGCCTTTGATTGTTTTTGAGTTATCAGAGGGTTGGTCTTTTTGGGTGGCATGATGGTTACCTCCCCCTGGTGAGGAAGTCAAGCAGGGAATTAGCTTCTCTTTTGATATATTCAATGTCAAAATCAAATACATATAAAATTGCTTGCTATCTTGAAAAAATTTGTTTTGATGCAATATTTTGAACATCCTTTTGTAAAACATGTTTAGCAGTTTGGCAATCAATGCGAAGTAGAAATTTTTGATTGAGTAAATCACTTTGAAATTTAGAAATGCATAAGACAATGGATAAAATTTCTTTTTTGATAGTGGAGTATTTTTGTTGAGTTTCATTCCAAAATTTGGAAGTATATTGGACAACTTGTTATTTGTTATCTTTTTCTTGTTTGAGAATACCTCCATATCCCAAATCTTAGACATCTGTTTCTACAATTTCGAAGGCTAATGGGTCTGCTAAATGTAAACATGGCAAATGGGTAATTTGGGCTTTAATCTGGTGGATTATATTGTTGTGTTGACTTGTCCATGGTTTTGGATTCTTCTTTAACCTTTCATGTAAAGGTTTGCAAATTTGACTAAGTTTAGGATAAAAATCCATTACATAATTAAGACTTCCTAAGAATCTTTGTAACTGAGTTTTATCAGTGATGACATCAGAAATTTTTTTGCCAAATTCAATGGATCCTTGAATAGGTATGATTGTACCATTGTAGATTATTTGACCTAAAAATCGGATCCTTGTTTGGAAACGGTTTATTTTTGTTTTTGATACAACTAAACCATTTGTTTTGACAATGTGAATAAATGTTTTTAAATGTTTAAAGTGTTGATCTATACCAGATGAAAATATAAAAACATCATCTATATAGACAATAAGAAATTGAGAGTAAGAATTGAATATTTCATTCATTATTCTTTGGAATTTTGATGGGGCATTTTTTAACCTAAAGGGCATTACATTCCATTCATATTAACCAAATGGTACAGTAAACGCGGTTTTATACCTATCTTCTGGTTTAATTTGGATTTGCCAAAATCCAGATTTCATGTCAAATTTGGAAAAGATTTTTGAATTGGATAGTTTTTTAATAAATCTTTTTTGTTTGGGATTGGGCATCTTATCCATCTTAAGGCTGTATTAAGAGGTTTATAATTTATGACAAGTCTTGGAACTCCTCTTTAAAGTTCAGCATTTTTCTGAACATAGAAGGCCGTGTAACTCCAAGGAGAATTGCTTTTCCTAATTAATTTTTTTTTTTTTTTTTGTAGAAGATCATTGATTTCTTTTTTACAATGTTCTTCAAATTCTTTATACATTTGTATTCGTCTGGCTTTTGTAGGTATTTCTTTTTCATCAAAATTTTTTTCATAAGGCAGACTGACCATATGTTTTTTCCTTTCCCAAAAAGCATTAGGTAGGTCAGAGCAGATTTGAGTTTCAATAGTTTTTTGTATTTGTTTTATCTTTGAGTGGATATTATTTTGTTGAAGTTGAGATTTGATTCTTTTAGTTTTAACTTCTTCTTGGAGGAAGTGTATATGTTTTTTTTTGTTTAGGATGAGGTGATTAATTTCTTTCTTTGACGTTGAGTATTCTTGGAGAATATTAAGGTTTTTTTGGAGTTTGGTGACAAGAACTTCACCCATTATTTTTGTGGATATCCCTGAGTCATCAACACTAAATTGTTGTATTAAATTAATGAAGGGTGTTCCTAATATTATACTTCTTCTCAAATTTTTTACTAATAAAAAGGAGGTTTTAAACAAATGTTTTGATTACAAACTTTAACATCTAATAATTTGTAATTGATAAAAAGGGTTGAGCCATTGGCTGACTTAGCAGATTCTAGTGTTTTTTCATAGTATTTTGTAGGAACTAATCCTTCTTGGATACAATTGAAGCCTGCCCCAGTATCAAATAGAGCAATTGTTTTTAGGATAAATTCATCATTGATTAAGAGTTTTATCTGAATATGCCATTTTGATTAGTGGTGGGATAATCCGGTTAACCGAACCGGATTAGGAAAACCGAAAACCAAACCGGTTATTCGGTTTAGAGAAAATGCAAACAAAAAACCGGACCAATTTCGGTTATAAACCGGTTGTAAACCGAACCGAATATCCAGTTCGGTTAACCGATTTTCAAATTAACCCCTAAAATTCTTCAATGTTTAATTTAAGTCCCTAAATTCAAATATTTATTATTTTATGTATAATTCCATGCTATTTTTCTCTTTTATTTTGGTATTATTGTTGTATTCTTTGTATGAAAAATACATTAAATTACTTATTTACAGATATTGAATCCAAAATATGAAATAAAAACATAAAGAATTCAATTACACATTACTCAATAGTCAATATTCATTAATAAACTCAAATACATAACATAAATTTAATTTGGCAATGTTAAACTGAACATCACATAAAATTACAAATTAAAAAAACTTAACATAACATAAATCATCTTCATCCCACAATGTTGGTGTTAGTGGAGTCTCTTGATTCCGCACTCCCCAGATTAGTTAATGGCACAAGAAAAAGATTATCATCTGCAATTAACAACTATAAATATTAATAAATGAAAATAATAAAACATATGAAATATTATTATCACTGCTGTTAAAGAATGTAGTTTTCTCCAAGCAATTCCCATATTCTTATCCCATATTCATAATGCAATTCATACGGAGTATATATGCATCATCATTGGGAGCTTGCTATCATTGCCGTAGTGACTAGTGACATATTAAGGAAATACTGTAACAAAGAAGGCTATCTCTTAATTGTTAAATCTTTATTCATTCATCAGTATCTCATAGGATAGCCATTAGTCTCACTAGAAAGTAGAGATATTTTCTAAATGAATGATAGTCCAAGTCTCATTCACGAAGAGTTCCAATAGAGCAACCAAGAAACCTTTGATGCAAGCAATTGAATAGCAAATACTGCCTAAATAAATCTAATGACAATGAATTGAAAAAACTCTATAAGATGAAGCAATGATTAAAATAGAGCACAGGCCAACAAAGCAAGGAGAGTGTATTAACAATTGAGGCATCTAATAATAGAGAGGTGAAATAAATTAAGCATATGTTGTGATAACTTTAATGTATAATTCAATACACACTACTCAATAGTCAATACTCATTAATAAACTTATAGTTAGCAACTCTCCAAAAATTTAAAATAAATAAAAACAACATATGCTGTGATAACTTTAATGATAATATACCTCATATATTGGAAATTTGGAATATTCTTCAATCATCAAGATGAGTCAGACTACTTTCCACTCCCGAAGAGAAAACCTCTACACAAAGTTGGACAAAAAAGTTAGCTAAAATCATAAATAATGATGAAAAATATATAATTATAATTGAAAGTTAACAAAAAATGTCACCTGACTCAATTTTAGATAATTCCTCCAAGCTTTCCTCAATGTTCAATGGTCCACGCGTATTCCTAATCCAATCCTGTGTACATATAAGAGCCTCTACCATCTTAGTAGTAAGGGAGCTACAAAATGGATCTAATACACTACCCCCTGTACTAAAAGCCGATTCAGATGCAACCGTTGAAATAGGCATAGCCCACACATCTCGTGCTATCATAGAGAGAACAACATATTTTGTTGAATTAGTCTTCCACCAATTCAAGATATCAAAAGTTTTGTCGTTGTAATCCTCACAATCGTCCGCTAAATACTTATCCAATTCCGTTTTATGCTGAACAGCTTTCTTTGTAGCCTTTTTCTAATTATACATAACCCTCATGAAGTTCTCATTATCAACATTTGCATCATGCACATCAATGTCAATTGAAACTTGAGATTTCTCACTTGACTGCTTATTGTCATCCACCATAAGCAAACTATATTGCTCAAATAAAGACAACAAAGCTTTCTTCACTTTTCTCATCAACTTGTCAGCTACAACAACATCATAGGCCTTATTAACTACCTAGTCCACATATTCCAATTTTTGCTTAGGATCCATTACCTCTGCAATGAATAACATAATGTTGATATTATCAACATTTGACCAATACTTATCAAATTTCACTTTCATCCGTGTAGCCATATTATGTAAGCCAAGATCAGGACTTTTACACTATGTTGAAATCTTCAACCCAATGCCGAAAATCTCATACATTTGCTAGTAACATAAAGAGACCCGAAGACACATAGAGTAGCATCGTAAAATACTTTCAAGAAAGGTAACAAATAGTGAGCATACTCCT